AAACTAAACCAAGAAGAGATTAACAGCTTAAACAGACCCATAACACAAAAAGAAATTGAAACAGTAATACAAAACCTCCCGACTAAAAAAGGCTCCAGGCCCAGATGGATTCACAGCAGAATTCTATCAGGCATTTAAAAAAGACCTCCAGCAAATACTACTTAAATTATTCAAAAAGACAGAATCAGATGGAGAACTCCCAAACTCCTACTACGAAGCCAGTATTACTCTAATGCCAAAACCAAGTAAAGATACAATAACAAAAAAACCCTATAGACCCATATATTTAATGAACATAGATGCAAAGATACTCAACAAAATAATTACAAACCACATACAGACACACGTCAAAAGGATCATCTACCATAATCGAGTTGGCTTTATTACAGAGATGCAGGGATGGTTCAACATTCATAAATCAATAAATGTAATAAAACATATAAATGGACATAAAGACCAAAACCACATGGTCATCTCAATAGATGAAGAAAAGGCCTTTGAGAAAATCCAACATGCATTTATGTTAAAAGTTCTAGAAGGAGTTGGACTTGAGGAAACATACCTCAACACAATTAATGCTGTATACAACAAACCCATAGCCAACATCATCCTAAAAGGAGAAAAACTGAAAGCATTCCCATTAAAATCAGGAACCAGACAGGGATGTCCACTATCTCCACTCCTTTTCAATATAGTGCTTGAAAACCTTGTTAGAGCAATAAGACAAGAGAAGGAAATTAAAGGAGTACCAATTGGAAAGGAATAGGTCAAATTATCCCTGTTTGCAGATGATATATTATACATACAAGATTCAAAAAATTCCACTAGAAAATTGTTAGAATTGATTAATGCTTTCAGTAACGTGGCAGGATACAAAATCAACTTACAAAAATCAGTAGCATTTATATACCAATAACAAATAATCAGAAAAAGCATTAGAGGAAACCCTCTCATTCTCAATAGCCTCAAAAACTATTTAGGAATAAACATAACCAAAGACATTAAATAACTCTACAATGAAAATTTCAAAACTTTAAAGAGATAGAGGAAGACACCAGGAGATGGAAAGACCTACCATGCTCATGGATTGGTAGAATCAATATTGCAAAAATGACCGTCTTACCAAAAGCAATTTACAGATTCAATGCAATCCCAATCAAAATACCCATGACATTCTTCACAGAACTTGACAAAATAATCCTAAAATTCATATGGAATCACAAAAGTCCTCGGATAGCCAAAGCAATCTTGGGCAAAAAGAACAATGCTGGAGGGATCACCATACCGGATCTCAAATAATATTACAGAGGTCTACTCATAAAAACAGCATGGTACTGGCACAAAAATTGACACCTAGATCAATGGAACAGAATAGACATCCCAAACATGAGTTTATATAATTTTCATCCACATGATATTTGACAAAGGTGCTAAGAACACACAATGGAGGAGAGAAAACATTTTCAACAAGTGGTGCTGGCAAAACTGGATCTCCACATGCAGAAAAAATGAAACTTGACCCTTATCTTTCACCCTGCACAAATGTCAACTACAAATGGATCAAAGATCTCAATATAAAACCTGAAACTCAGAAACTGCTAGAAGACAACATAGGCATAGAAGACAAGATACAGGCATACGAAAGGAGTTTCTAAACCAGACACCAGCTGCTCAGTCACTAAGGTCAACAATCAATGGGCCCTCCTTAAATTACAAAGTTTCTGTACAACAAAAGAAACAACTAGGGAAGGGAAGAAGAAACTCATTGAGTGGGAGAAAATCTTCACCAGATAGATACACATCCAACAGAGGATTAATATCCACAATATACAAAGAACTCAAAAAAGAAAGAAACAAGAAGATAAACAACCCAATAAAAAGATGGGCAATAGACCTAAACAGAGTTCTCAAGTGAAGAAATAAAAATAGCTAAGAAGAGCCTTAAAAGTGCTCAACTTCCTTAGTAATTAGAAAAATGCAAATCAAAATCACTAAGATTTCATCTTACCCCAGTCAGATCGGCCAAGATCAAGAGAACAGAAGACTCTAAATGCTGGAAAGGATCTGGAGAAAGGAATGCTCATTCACTGCTGATGGGAATGCAAACTCGTGCAACCACTATGGAAAGCAGTGTGGAGAACCCACCAAAAACTAAAAATGAACCTACCATATGATCCAATGATACCACTCCTTGGCATATACCCAAAGGACTCATCATACTGTAGAGAAACCTGTACATCCTGTTTGTTGCTGCTCTCTTCACAATAGCTAAGAAATGGAAACAACCTAAATGTCCCTCAACTGATGAATGGTTAATGAAAATGTGGTACATCTATTCAATGGAGTTCTACTCAGTAGTAAGAAAAGATGAAATTTGCAAGTAAATGGATAGAGCTAGAGGGTGTTATACTAAGTGAAGTAACACAAATGCGGAAGAGCAAGTAACATATGTTTTCCCTCATTTGTGGATTGTAGCACCAGCCCTTTATATGCGAGTATATAAATTCTGAAGTAACACCAGGAGCTGGGTAAAGGCAAAAGATACATGGAGGTAAAGGAAAAGAAACAATCTGAAAGGGAGACAGTAGGGAACAGATGCTACCTGAGGGAGATGGAAAAATTGTGAGTAATTGACAGGGAGGCAATGAGGGAGGGACATGCAAGGGACCATGGTGTGGGGGAGGGAGGGAAGTCAGGAATGGAAAGATGGCAGGAGTTGGGAGGTATTGGGCGAAGGCTGGGAATAATGGGGGCACTGTGACTAGAAAGGGAGGGAGGAGGGAGGGCATATGGGAGAAAAAATAGTAGAGATGAGTGAATCTCGGGGGGCTAGGAAACCTACAGGGGAAAGTGATGCCCTGGAAACCCTATGAGAAATGCACAGAGAGTGTCTGAACATTAATGCATATGTATACCTAGGAGCTGCTTGGAAGGGAATGTAGTGTGAGATAGAAAAGACCTCCCTTAGAGCAACAAACATGCCATACAGCACTCATCAAAGAAACTTCTTTTTGCAACAGATGGAGGCTACCACAGAGTTGCACATCTGATTAGGTATAGAGAACATACAACTGGGAGATGCCTGGTACTAGGTGACACATCTGCAGTCGAATTCCAACAACCAAGGCTCATGGAACATAGCAGAATAAGGGGTAGAGGGCTAATGCACCCCTCAATGCTCACCAATGAGGCTTCTGAGTACATCAGAGTGCATTACACGCAGAAGGCCTCAACTGGTCAAGTATTGGAGAATAAGAGACTGTAGAGTGTAGGATGGGACTCCTATATGGAACCTCACCCACCCACGGCTCAGAGACCATTGCAGAGGAGGAGGCAGAAAGATTGTTCATGAACATATGACATGGAGGCTTCCAGGCCAATGGAGGTTTGCTCATATGTGCCTGTGGCAGCAGTGGTGTCCAACGCAGGACCCATGTCAGCTCAATTAAACAAGGGCCCAAAGGGGAGGTAAGAAACAGGTGGCGGGTCAGCACTAGATCAAGAACGATTTGAGACTGGTTGCTGCTGGGTGAGGGAGAGTATGACTTACATACAACCACTGATGGGCTGACTAGACTCCAGTGGATGCAGTCACACTGAAGGACATTTGTGTACAAACACCTGAATGAATAGGACTCAGCATGTACGGCAGAGTGCATAGGGTTTGGTGGCGGAGGGGGAGGCATGGATTGGGGAGGGAGTCTGGATGTGAGTGGGAAATATTGTATGAAATTTTATAAACTCAATTTTTAAAAGTTAAAAAAATTATGGTAGACATAGAATTTTGAATTATATTCTAAGATGCAGTTACATATTTTTAGTTTGAGAATTTTATCAATTTAGTTACTACAACAATTTCCTATATTGCTGAGGACACCCTTGAACTTTGATCCTCCTGCCTCTGCCTCCCAATTGTGAGGATTACAGTTATATGCCACCCCATTCAGCTTGAGATTTACTTTTTAAAAAGAAAAGCCAGGTATATATATGCACATACTTATAATCCTAGCACTTGAGAGGTTGGGGCAGAAAGATAAGTTTGAGGTCAATCTGGGCTACAGTGCAGTGAGATTCTTTTGTGTGTGTGTGTGTGTGTGTGTGTGTGTGTGTGTGTGTGTGCGTGTGTGTGTGTGTGTGTGTGTGTATGTGTGTTCATTAGAGGAGGGGAGCAAAAGTGAGGGAGCAAAAGAGAGAAGATCAAGTTGTAGAGCAGTGTGCTTAGCATCACCTAGTCACTTTACCCACCTTAATAGCTGCAACTTTATAGGTACATATAAAACATGCAGCTATATATTTATGTATTATTGCCATAATTTAGGATTTTAAAAGAAGGAATAACAAAACCTTAACAACGCTAAAACATTCAGAAAATTATCTGAAATGTGGCACTTCAAATGATCTATAATTGTTACCCTTAGTGAATAAAGATTACTGAAACAAAATCAATTTTCCCTAGACCAGTCTCTGTACTTGAATAATTAGTGTGGTTCATAGTAGACTCTGTGTAGCGAACTATAGTGAACTAGCTTCGCGTAAAAGTTGTAACTGCACCTTGTAATCAATAATTGAATATCAGTAAATTTAAAAAGCTGAATTTTCAGCCAATTAGAAGCTGAAATCTACCAAATCATAAAGCTATAAGGCCAAAGACACTGGTAGCCAATCAGGTTTTGAATATATTTATATTTACTTATCTTCATGTGCTATCTTTCCATCTAAATCATAAACTCTATGAGATCAGGAATTATAGCATCTTCAGCTCTGTAGATCCAGTAAATTTTTACCATGCTTTGGTTTGAACTGAAAAAGAGAATATCAGCTCCTGGAGGCAGTAGTTGTCAGACTTACCTGTATCTCCACCAACCAGTCCACAAGAATGGCCCTCATATCACTGGTGATCTCAATCTGCCTGTCCAAATATTTTTCAACTACGAACTTTTCCTGGTATCAACAAGAAAGAAGTGTTAATAAACTCTGCTTATAGTTCAAAATGTTAACAATTAACTTCTCTTTCACAATTCTAACTCATTATTTTCAACTGGTATCAGCTAGGGGTATATCAAAGTATCCTTTTCCAAACAAGTTTTAGTTATCTTTGGGAAATCGACACAGTTATACAAATGTCAGAATAGATACTGAGGAATCTACCTAGAGCTATAGATGAATGCCAGAAGAGTTGCATCATGTCTTTGCAATTTGGCCTAAAGTACAATACCACGCTATGGAGACCAAGGCTTTTCCAACTTTGATATACTTAATGCACTATTTATGTATTATGTAAAACTTCAGATTTTTATTTAGAAATTTGGAGAGGAGCTGGGTTTCTACATTTGCATCAAGATTCCAAATGGTAATCTTGTTCTTATGGGTTTCATCAAGAGAGAGAAAAAAAATTGGAAATGATGAACATTAGTTGTAAAGGAGAGTTGAATTTTCAAGGAAGAATAAAAGTATACCAAGTTGGAGAGCTGAAACAATTATATGTAATTTTACATACAATGCCAGAAACATGCAGAGAAAAGGAAAAAGATCTCTAACAAAAGTCACTCAGAAACAATTTTATGAGTTTCATGTCTGAGACTGTCTCCTCTGTAACTAGATGCTACAAGGCTATGGTCTCTTCATGGTCATCAGACTTTTGTTCCTATTGCAGTTTACTATGTAATATGTATAACTCAGAGCAGTTTCCCCTAATATATAAAAGGAATATAATAATCCCTACCATCATGAAATTATTGGGAGAACTGAACAAGGTAATATCTACAAATCCCTTAACATAATGTTCAACTCACAATAAGCAATAAGTAGATGTTACTTATTGCTATTATTATTTTCAGCATCAGTATCACCTCCCCTTTCAATTTATATGCTGAAGGACAGAGTGAGGAACAAATGAAAACTAGATATCACTATCCACCTCCAGTTACCTACATACACACCTCTCTCTCCTTCAAGTAGCTGAAGACTTCCTTGACATATGCTGAGTCGTCCAGTACACTATCTTCCAGTGTGTCACTATCTTCTATGCCTATCTGCATGAAAATCATCAAAAAGACATAAGAAAAAGGAGTTAAAAGAAAGTATAGCTCATACATATCAAGGATTGCCCATTTCATCTCACTGTCTTCTATTAAGATTGCTCAAGCTTCAGGTATTCTGGGCAATCACAGGTCACTTTTTAGCCATGAATTTCTCATACTGTCCAGTGATTAAGATCTGCCTAGCATATGATTATTCTGCCCCAGGAACTAGGCACTCATTTTACACGTATCTTCAAACCCCTCTAAAAAAGACAATCTTATTTTATTATTTCAGCTATATCACATGCCTTCTAATATTATTTGTTATGCCCCAATACTTTGATCTGCCTGCTTCATCTTAGTAGCTACTCTACACCTTTATCTAGGTTGTTTTGTCTCTAAACAGGAGATATTTCTCCTTCAACTTGCAAACCTCATCCTTTCATTCTTGTAAACTGAAACATAAAGACTACCTTCCTTGAGATATATCTCAATATTCCAGGCCTCAATAAGCATAAATATTTTCTGATTAATAGCTCCATCTCTATAAAGTCAGGAATTAAGGATATTCTACAAGACCAACTTGACATAAGAGGAAAATTCCAAAGGGCCTAGTAAATGTATCCCATATCATGGGTATCCCTCAAGATATAAAACATAAAACAGGGAAGATTACATATTACCTTTCATTAAATCAATCAGAAGGTAAGCTAAGAAAACCATCCTCTCACTAAATGCAGGTTCCCCCCATAGTAGAGCTCATTTTCTTAGGAAGCAAACATAAAGAACTCTTTGGAGGGCTAGAGAGATGGGTCAGCTGTTAAGGGTGTCTACTGCTCTTGCAGAGGACCTAAGTTTAGTTCCTAGCACCAATGCTGGGTGACTTACAACTGCCTGTAACTCCAGGTCCAGGGGATCCAATGTCTCTGGCTTCCATGGGAACCAGAAAATGTGTGTACACGTGTGTGTATGTGCACACACACACAATTAAAAACAGTAATTTTTAAAAGAGCCAGGCATGGTGGAGCCAGGCATAGTGGAGCCAAGCATGGTGGCATATGCCACTAATCCCAGCACTTTGCAGGCAGAAGCAAGCAGATCTCTGTGAGATCAAGGCCAGTCTATTCTACATAGCAAGTTCCAGGCAATCTGCGGCTAGGCTACAGGAAGACCTTGCAATAATAATTAATAATAATAATAACAGTAACAACAGCAACAACAACAACAATCTTAAAAGATAGCTTTGTGGTGTGGATATGGACTTGTGTTGGAGCATGTGCTTTTCATGTGCAAGTCACTGGGTTCAATATTTAGCACCAAAAATGTCTTTGCTAACAGCTATCTCTAAGACAACAAAACAGCCAACTCAAGAAAAAAAGAGAAATAAATACCTCCTTCAGTATTCTGCCCACAGATGAGTGAGAATTTTTTGAACCAGATTTATGTGAACTGAACTTCATGTCTGGATTGAACTTGCTTACATGGGACATGTTGACAGTTTTGGAATTGCCTGGTCTGGATTCAAGGGTATTGCTAGATACATTTGACTTTCTGGTAACTTGAGAGTAAAAGAGTCTTTCGAGAAAAGAGTCTTCCTCCTGAGAATTCTCTTCTAAAGCCAATGGGCTTTGAAAGGACAATTTCTTTACAGCAGTAAGTTTTTCATTCAGGGATAATGTCTCTTTGAAGTGGGCTTCAGTGTTGGACTTCTTCTTAAAGTCTGTCTTTCTGAAAATATCTTTCTCAATGCCAGACTTATGATTAATGCTCAAAACCTTTTGGGGCCTAGCTTCCTTATCAGTGCTGGGATTTTCCTTTAAGGCATTCATAGTAACCTCTGCTTTAGTGATAGGTTCCTGCTGCAAGGGCTCCCTTGGGGTAGACTTCTCAGTGAGAGACTTCCCCATCAAGGCCAATACTTCCTGCAAGATAGACTCTTCCTTAGTCTTGGGATTCTCCTGTGAGGTCAAGGGCTTATTTTCCATGGAGGGATTCTCCAGTAAGACTAGCAGCTTCTTCAGCACAGGCACAACTTCAGTTCTAGACTTCTCCAGTAAGGCTAAGATCTCCTTCACTGTAGCCTCTTTCTCGATGCTGGGTGTCTCTTGTAAGGTAAAACATTTCTGAGAGTGATCCTCTGTGTCAATAGTGTGCTCATTGAGGAAAGTCTTTCCAATAGGATTTTCTTGCAAAATCAAAGGCTTCTTAAGGAGAGCCATCTTCCCAGCACTGAGTTTCTCCTGTCTTTTCAAAGGCTCCTTGAAGTTTTTCTTCTTAATATTGGAATGTTCCTGAAAGGTCACTGGGTGATTAATAAGACGCTTGTCACCATCATTGCTGCTATTGTCATGCAACCCCAATTCCCTCATTAAGAGGAATTCTTGCTCTTGAGCAACAGTCCTTTCTGGACTTGATTCCTCATCGGAGGACCTCCTACCCCTACAAAAGTATTTTCTGAAAAGAGCCTCCTCTTCACTGATGCTGTCCTGTGAGGCCAACAGTTTGGGGGGGGATTCATTCTTGGTATCAGTTTTCTCTTGCAAGTCCAAAGACTGAGGTAATTTGAAGTCATTTTCAGAACTATAAGGAGAAAATAGCTCTGGAGAAAATTCATAGTAGTCAGTAGGTTCTTCCTTTGAAGTCACTGGTTCTTTACTAAAAGCTTCTTTTTGACTGGTTGTCTTCTCTTGTGCAGCCAATAGCTTTGAGGGGGACACTTTCTTCAGAATGGAGTAAGTCTCTTTTAGTGAAGATGGCTCCTGCAGTAACTCAGTTGTAGGTTCCTCCCTTAGTGACCCTGGATCTGTAAAAAACAAATTCATATCTCCATCAATTATATCCAGCCACTCTGACTGTTCTGGACAGGTGGGATTTATCTGAGTAATATACTTACTTTTCTGTAAAGACATATTTTCTTCTTTAAAGGAAAATGGCTCCTTAATGAGTGATTTCTCTCCTGAAGTGGCTGTCGATAATACTAGTGGATTTTTCAAATGGGACACTGTCCCTTGAATAGGGTGCTGTTGCGTGTCTAAAGGTAAAGGCTTCTGGGTGGGGTCTGTCTCCTCCATAATACACTGGTTCTTAAAAGATGAAGCTTCTTGAAAATGTGACTCCTCCTCAATGGGATGTTTTTGTAGCACCAAGGGCTTCTTCAAAGTGGATACCTGCCATGGAATGATATGCTTCTCTTGTAATGCAGATGACCCCCAGGAAACTGAATTTTTCTCAGTGGTAGGCTTCTTCAAGGGAGGCTCACTAGTGATTGGTTCTTCTACTAGAGGCCTGAAGCAGAACATTTTCTTTTGAGTCTGATGCTGCTGCTTCTTTAAGGAAAAAACCCTCTTCATGCTGGGGGCCTCCTCCATTATACACTGCTTCTTAAAATCTGTTTCTACCTGAAACTGTGACTCTTCTTCAGGGGTATGATTTTGCAGAATCTGGGGCTTTTTCACAGTGGATGCCTCCACCTGAGTGGTATGCTTCTCTTGAAATGCAGATAGGCACTGGAAAGGGAAATCATTCTTGGTGGTAGACTTCTTGAAGAACGATGGTTCATTAGTGAATGATTCATTTTCATGTGTGACTGACTGAAAATAAAAGATCTTTCCCTGAGTGTTACATTTCTTTTTAAAATCTGATAGATTCTCTGTGTTGGTTGTATCCACGGCAATATGTTTCCTCTTAAAAGTAACTGGCTCCAGTAAACCATCATCTTCATTGTTTGTATTCTCTTGTAATACCTGTGGCTTCTTCAAGATGCTTATCTCCCCTTGAGTGTTGTTCTTCTCTTGTGATGAAGATGGCTGCTGTAACAGAGACTTCTCAGTGGTAGGATTCTCTTTCAAGAACAATGACTTTCTAATTTGTGAGGGAGTAGGATGCTTCCCTCCTTGAACAGTGCATTTACTATTCAAAGATAATGGCCTTAAGGCAACAGTTGCCTCAGGCTGAGGCTCAGGCTCATCTAAACCAATCAGCTCCAGATAGTAGTAATTCTCACAACTTTCGCTCTTTATGAACAGCAACTGCTGGTGAGACTGTGTCTCCTGATAAAGGCATCTCTTCTGTGAGGGCATTGTCTCTTCAATGATGGCAGCCTCTTCATTTATATACTTTTTTCCAAAAGTCATTGGCTCTACATCAAACTCATCATAATTTTCAGTCTCCTCCAGCAAGGTTAGTGGTTTCTTCTGTAGAAACATCTCCCCATGAGATGTCTTTAATGTCTTGTTGATATGGGTTGTCTCTTCAGTAGCAGTTTCCTCATTTAAAACTAAAGCCTTTTTAAAGGAAGATGCTGCCTCAGTAGTTGGCGTTTTAGACTTGGAAGATATATCCACAGTGAGCTGTTTCCCTGTATCTGAGAGTAAGGTGGTAGAGGATGCTGTAGGTCCAGGTTGTACCTTACAACTGTAAATGAAACAATACCAGGGTAAGAATAATGCAACTCCTCAAGTGCTCACCTACCATTCCATTCTGTTACCACATTAACTAAGAACACTAAAGGGGAAAGGGCTTTAACACCAAGACATAGGGCAAAGGGGTTAAAAAAAGAAGTAAACCATGGCAAATCAAGTTAATAGCATAGTGTATAGTTTCTATGCCTACATCTCTACACTTTTCTACATTTCCCATGAAATATATGATATTCTTTCTCACATAGGGTTTGTTATCTTTATTTATATACAATGATTTCTATTATAATACTTATTACGTAAGTCATCTGACTATATATTGATCTCCCCACCAGCTGCGGTTATTTATCTTTGTCTCTCAGCACCAGGCATCTGGTAAAATGCAGGTTGAAATTATTATTGTTTGAAGGCTAACGAGAGATGAAAGGTGGCAATTGATGGTGGTATGTGACAATGTTCTCTGTACTTTGTATTAGGGTTTTAAACCACTGCAACCCTCCCCATCTCCAACAGGGTCTAATGGACTTCAGATTTCTTAAGCCCCTGAGAAAAGGGAACCCAGCTGATAAGCACCCTGGTCTTTGAAGTCAAGGGAAGCAGACTCTCCTAAAAGGCAGCCTGCCTTTCCTTTGATAAGCAGATTCTACCTTTTAACCAGAGACTTCGGGAGCCGTTTAACACAGCAGGTTTTCCTTTATCTTAAGAGGACAAAAATAAACACTTTCTGGCCCAGATCCTGGCTGGCAGATGGAAAGAAACCTGTTTTACAAGCCCTGCTTTTCCTGCTTTCCGCCACCTAATTTTTTCCAAAAACTTCCCGCCTTCTGCTCCCTGCAGCCCCCTTACATAAGCCCCAGCTCACAATCCATGGGCTGACATTTTCCATTCCCCAAAGGGAACGCGTTCCATGTGAAATAAAACTCTATCCTGCTGAGAGTTTTATCTGTGTCTTGGTGCTTTCTCCTGATCAACTCTACCTGTTCATTCTCCAGCTACTTTTTACCTATCAGGTGGTGCCAAAACCGGTTCTTCCTTTGAGGGACCTCACACGTAAAACATCTGGACTCAACTTGCCATTATTGGCCTTTGCAAACACCACTGATTTGGCTTTAAGGTTCTCTCTCTCTCTCTCTCTCTCTCTCTCTCTCTCTCTCTCCTTTCCCGTCACTTCTGACTCTCCTCCATTTTCTTTTCATCTCCTTTCTGATCAAATTCAGTCACTCCCGGACCTCACTCAGGCCACTGGACAGGACCAGTTTCCACAGGTGTCGAACTGTCCAGAGTGGTTGCTGTGCCTGCCCATTCCCACCTGGTAGTAAGACCTGCCTCCCCATCTCACTCAAACCCTTTTCCCTACCTCAGCTCCCTTCCCTTCCCTTTCCTCACTCCTCACTCCTGCCATCTCTTGCCTTCCCCTGACATCTCACCTCTTGCCTCCCTTTTCGCTTTCTCTCTCTCTCTCTCTCTCTCTCTCTCTCTCTCTCTCTCTCTCTCTTCCCTGTTTCACACCCCCATTTACTAGCTACTCTAAGTTCCATCTGGCTCACTGCCTTCTCCATTCTCATAGGTCTCAGCCTGCTGGCCCACTACCTCCTTCCCTTGTACTTTGGCCCCATCTACTGGCTGGTCGCACACCACATTGCAGAGTTTCCCTCTCATTTCACTCGCCTCAGAATTTTACCCATATGTCCAGGAACCTCTTTCCTGCCTCTGGATACAGGAAGCTGTTTCCACTGACAGGACCATGCACAACACGTTCTCATATTTCCCCTCCCCAATGACTACAGGATGCTGCCCTTGGGGTTTTGGAAATTAAAACTCAAAAATAATAATTCAAACCCATGTAACAAAAAAAGGACACTTTGTTTTGTTGCCTGGTTCTTCTCATTCTCGTTTTTACATGACCTAAGCCAAACCTTTCTCTTCCTACTCTCTCCCCCTGTCTGTCTCTTCTTTGTATGCTACTCCTTCCTGCCCAACTCCTGATCCCACCTCTGCTCCCTCTGGGCAAAAGATTCTCCTTTCTCCCCTACCTGCCTGCTGAGGTCTTTTCTCTATCTCCTCTTTGCTCTGTACATAATCTGTTGCTATGGGGACCAAACACTCAAAGTCTCAGGGTCTCACACCTCTTGCTTGTCTTCTTAAATCCTTGAAACAACTAGGGCTTTCAGGCACAATCAGGACAAAATGCCTGAAATTCCTGTGCACCATTTCCTGGCCTCAGTACAAGCTAGATAATAACTCTGTTTGGCCAGATACCAGAACCTTGAACCTCAATATTTTAAAAGATTTAGAAAACTTCTGCCATCATAACGACAAGCAGTCTGAGCTACCTGCAGCCAAGCCTTCTTTGATCTCCATGCTAATCCCTCCCTCTGTGTCCCATGTTCTTCCCATCAGGGTCTTCTGGCTAAGACAATTTCACCAGATCCCAATCTGCCAGGGGCCTCCACCCCTCCCCCTCCTCCCTACTCTTCCACCTCAGCTTTTGATCCTGCCATAGCTGATGAATTTCCCCCCATTAGAACCCAGCCCCAACCTCCTCCTGCTCCCCAGCCTGAGGCACGGCCAAGTCCTCCCCCTGCTCTCCCATCACTATACCCTCCCTTGCCTTCCAGTCCAGGGGCCAGCCCGACTCCCCTCCCTTCTCCGTCTCGAACCCCCCATCCACAATCTTCCCCCTCCCCTCCCTGGTGTTCTGAGTCTGGCACTCGCTCTCCTAACTCCCCTATATTCAAGGAAATCCAAAAACATATCTTTACCAAATATTCCCTAGTCTCCCCTAGTCTGACTTCTATCTCAAATACCCCATTTATCCCTATTGTATCTACTTCTACTTCAATTCCAGACCCTGCCTCAGATACCCCTGCCCCTATATCCTCTCATGTACAATACACCCCTCCCACCTCTCCCATTTCAGCCTCCTCCCAGGACTCCCCCTTCTCCTCTACCCCTCCCAATCCCTTTCCTGTGTCAAGCCATACTCACTCCCACACCCAGTCTCAGCTCCCTTCCCATGGTATCTCCCCTCCAGGAGGTGGCAGGCATGAACAGGATCGTCAAAGTCCATGTGCCTTTCTCTCTTGGAGATCTATCTCAGCTCAAGCACAGAATAGGCTCTTTTTCTACTAATCCTACACACTTCATACAAGAATTTAAATATATTACTCACAGCTGTGATCTAACCTGGCATGATCTCTTTATGATTCTCCAGTCTACCCTCACCCCCGATGAGAGAAATAGGGTCTGGACAGCAGCACAGGAGTATGCTAATGAGCTTCATTCCACTAACCAAGCTCACCCTATTGGTACCAAGGCAGTTCCCCTTCAGGATCCTGGGTGGGATTACCAACCCCCACCGGGAGATCAGGCAGGACCTTCCCCAGGTAGAGCAGCCAGAGACCACATGATCACTTGCCTCCTGACAGGTCTTCAGAGAGCTTCACCCCCCTAAGGTAGTTAACTTTGAGAAGCTTAGGTTGATTACTCAGGGCTCTACAGAACCCTCAGCTCAGTTTATGGACAGACTTACTGATGCCCTGGTCCAGTATACCAAGTATGACCCAGAGTCTACAGAGGGACAGCTTATGCTTCACCACCACTGTTCTTACAATCAGCTGCAGATATTAGAAGGAAACTTAGATACTTAGACAAGTGCCCTGAAACCCCCACGGGAGATTTATTGGACATGGCATTTAAAGGAACAGGAGAGGGCAGACAAGCTTACCCTGTCCAAGCAAAAGTACCAGCTTATGGGTACAGTTCTAAGGGCTCCTCCCAAGAACACTTCGAACACCAATGGGTCCCAATGACATCTGCCAGGACCCTGCTTCAAGTGAGCAGCAACCAGACACTGAATAACGCAATGCCCTAACCTGTGACCATCCCCTGGACCCTGTCCTTCTTGTGGGCAACAAGGTCACTGGAGAGTTGATTGTCCTTCTTTGCGGCACCACGGAAGGCCACTCACCTTCCAGACCCAGCCTCCTTTACAGGGTTCAGTGAACGACCTTCTGGGCCTGGTGGCTGAAGACTGACAACGCCCTGGGTTCTTGGCCCCCACTACTTCTATGATTATTACAATGGAGGAGCCCAGGGTTTCAGCCATGGTGGCAGGTAAGATTATTCATTTTATTCTCAACACTGGCGCATCATGGTCGGTTCTCCCTTCCTACTCCGGTAAAGTTTTTCCTTCACAGATCTCCACGGTGGGGGTTGATGGGAAGCCTCACAACTCCAAATTGACAGGACCCTTAGCCTGTGTATTCTGGAAGGTGCCTTTAACTCACTCCTTCCTGGTTATTCCCACCTGTCCAACTGCCCTACTTGGCAGAGATCTCATGCAAAAGCACTCCCTGTCTATTTCTCTCCCCTTCTCCACACTCTTCCTCCTTTCCCCTGTACCTCCCCCTCCACAAGCCAGATCATGGCCCCTTCCCCCTTCTGAAGTAAATCCCAATGTCTGGGACACCTTGGCCCCAGGACTGGCCTCTCATCACACTCCTATCTGCATTTCTTTGAAGGACCACTCCCTATTTCCCAGCAGACCCCAATACCCAATTGCACTTAAACACTGCTATGGACTTAAGCCCACAATTCAAAGGCTTATGAGAGCTAACCTCCTTAAACCCACTCACTCACCATATGACACTCCCATTCTTCCAGTCTTCAAGCCTGAAGGCTCTTACTGTCTAGTCCAGGATCTCCAGCTTATTAATTCAGCAGTTATTCCCATTCACCCAGTCATTCCCAACCCCTATACCCTTCTTTCTCATATCCCCTCCTCCACCACCCACTTTACTGTCTTAGACTTTAAAGAGGCTTTTTTCTCAATACCCTTACACCCTGACTCTCACAACCTCTTTGCATTCACCTGGGAGTACTCTGACACATGAATGGCTTCCCAACTAACCTGGACTGTCCTGCCCCAGGGGTTTCGAGATAGC